AGCACTTGTCACCAACACTGACGATGAGTCGATTCCCAGGCCCCACCTAGTGCAAGAAAACCAGTTCCTAGCCGGGCGGTGGTGACGCATGCCTTTAATCCCAGCACTCGGGAGGCAGAGCCAGGTGGATCTCTGTGAGTTCCAGGCCAGCCTGGTCTACAGAGTGAGATCCAGGAAAGGTTCCAAAGCTATGCAGAGAAACCCTGTCTTGAAAAAAACAAAACAAAAAAACAAAATAAAAAAACCCCAAAAAACAAAACAAAACAAAAAAAAAATAAAGAAAACCAATTTCTGAACATTGTCTCATTTCTATACGCATGCTGGAGCCCTCCCTCCACAGCACACAAAACCAATAAAAATGGGATAGGAGAGATGGATCAGTAGTTAAGAGCACTGGCTGCTCTTGCAGCTGACATAGGGTTGGCTCTCAGCACCCATACAGTGGCTCACAACAATCCATAACTTCAGTTCCAGGAGATCTAATGCCCTCTTCTGACCTCCTTGGGCATTAGGCAAGCATATGGCACAGACACCTATAGGCAGGTAAAACACTCGGATATAAAATAAAATTAAAAACCCCAGCTGTAATAAAAAAAAAATTATAACAAAAAAGAAACTGAGACAAATGTAGCAAGACAGATATAAAGCCAGCATTCGTATGTAATTAAAACAAAAAAGCCTTACCAGAGCTTTTCCTAGGGGTGGGCAAGTATCCTCCCCAGACCATATTACTCCCATATGAAAAAGGATACAGAAGGTGGAGTTTATTTGCAATTAGGTGTGGTTAATGGAGAGTGGTGGCCACAGCGTAAGTTTAGAGACTGCGGACCCTGGAAGCTGGCTCCAGTGGCAGGTGTAGCAGGTTAAGGCATGAATCGCTGGCCTTGCTCCACTTGGCTTTGGGCCAAGCCAAACAACGCAAGTTAGTTCTGAGATCATTCAGGATGCAGGGGATGACATACATCAGCCCAAAGGTAGTGTCCTCGGAATGAGACCAGATGGCTCTAGGATGTAAATTCTGGAAGGGTACAGACCCCCGTCTGTGCTACTGCACCCAACATTACTCTCCCGACGATTTGATTCAAATGTATTACATATTGCTCATGTTTTCAGAGTATCCTCTGCTGGGGTGGACTTCAGAGAGCCCACCTGTCCTCTGTGATAAAGTTTCCTTATATAACGCTAACCCCTGAATGTCTCAGACTTGGAAAACACCTGGAGGAACAGTAACAACCACAATGGAATAATTTCAACAGAGGCACCCAGAGTGGTTAGAAAAAGATACTCTTAGAAGCCATAAAGCTTGTTAGATGAAAATCCTGGGGGCTGGAGAGGTTACGAGCACTGGCTGCTCTTCCAAAGGTTCTGAGTTCAATTCCCAGCAACCACATGGTGGCTCACAACCATCTGTAATGAGATCTGGTGCCGTCTTCTGGCCTGCAGATACATATGCAGGCAGAACATTGTATACATAATAAATAAATCTTAAAAAAAAGAAAAAGAAAAAGAAAAAAAAATCCTGCTGCCAAGAATGGGCTGTATTCTCAGAGCTATTGCCAGGAAGGCCTCTGGAGCCCTGCAAACGATGAAGGCCACTGTCACTGCTGTTGGTTGCATCCCAAATCTGTCGTGGAAACATCACATTGGTTGTAGGATATGGAGAAATCAGGCAGGACTGAGCCATGAGCCCCATTCCTGCTAGCTAGCTTTACACAAACAAAACACCAGGAGGTACAATGTGGGTGACAATGATTTCTGCTTACACCCATAGGTTACTGCTGTTGTCAGCCTCAGTTATTACAGGAAACTAAAAAAAATTACTTTAAATTATGTGTATGCTCATGTGTGTGCATGTATGTAGCTGCCTGTGGAGGCGAGAGAACATCAGATGCCCTAGGGCTGGTTGTAAGCTGGCTAATGTGAATGCTGGGGACTCAACTCAGAATCTCTGCAAGGGTAGTATGGCTCTTACCTGCAAAGTCATCTGCCTAGCCCAGGAAACATTTTGCAGCAGGTGGTACTCAGCCAGTCAAGCTCCTGAAAATAAGTGACTGTTGCTGTGGCAATTCTCAGCCACAAATGGAAGACAAATGACCAGACATTGCTATCATCCATGCCATCCCCTCAAAAAAAAACAAAAAACAAAACAAAACAACAACAACAACAACAAAAAGAGAATGCCCTCAAAGAGGTGAAAAGAATGTATCAGCACTTAAGGGGTGGAATATTGTGCAGCTGTTCCAGCCTAACTAAAAAATGTTCCCCTCAAGAGAATGGAGGCCCTTAAGAATGAGGACGCTCAAAGGGTGTTAAGACTCATGAAGTCCTTCTCTTAAGTTATACAGTCAGTAAACAAGTGCTGAGGAGAAACCTCTTGGTCAAGGAGCTCCAGGAATGCAGCTTTCATGAGCGACTGTCCATGGTAAGGTGGGCTTTCCAATGATCTAGCTGCCTTTGTGTGACCCATGTTCCTGTAAATAACCCAGTAAACTCATTGGTTCATCATACTAGGCCTGGACTGTTTCCTTGGTCTGCTGGTGGTGTGCTCTCCAGGGTGAACATATCTGTTTCTCTCCCCAGAAGTACCACAGCATTATGGAACACTGAAGACCACCATGTGCTCTCTCTCATCAGTGTATGCATCTCTAATTTGTTTAGCTCTGCTCTTTTATGTTTTCTTTCTGAATTATGATAAAGTCACTCAAAAATTCTATTCGTGAGGCACATGGACTTCAAAAGACATGTCCAAGAGCCAGGCAGGCACGGTGATGCATGCTAAGTAGAGAGGTGGAGGTCAGCCTGGTCTAAAGAGTGAATTCCAGGATAGCTAGAGTTACATAGTGAGACCCTGTGTAAAAAACAGTGAGGGGAGCCGGGCGGTGGTGGAGCACGCCTTTAATCCCAGCACTCGGGAGGCAGAGCCAGGCGGATCTCTGTGAGTTCGAGGCCAGCCTGGGTTACCAAGTGAGCTCCAGGAAAGGCGCAAAGCTACACAGAGAAACCCTGTCTCGAAAAACCAAAAAAAAAAAAAAAAAGTGAGGGGGAAGGGGCAGTACAAGAGCATCTATAGTAGCATGGTATAACGTTCATGAATTGGGAACACCCCCACATGCCACCAACAGGAAACAAATAAATTATAATGTATTCATATAACAAAGCAACAAAACTACAGCTGTACATAATACTCACTACACAATGTTAAGAGCGAAGACAAAAAGATATATGACTCCATCTGTTTAAAGTTTAATTTATTTTTATTTACATGTGTGTCCACAGAGGCTTGAGAGTACTGAATGCCCTGGAGCTAGAGTTTTATAGGTAGATGTGAGCTGCTGGATGTGGGTGCTGAGGACCAAACTTGGGTCCTCTGCAAGAGCACTAAGTGCTCTTAACTCCTCAGTCATTGTTTTCTCCAAGCCATAATTATTTCTGAGGAAGGTGCTCTTGTATCACATTAAGATTCTTGTGTGCATGTGAGTATAGCTTTACGCATGAATGTTTTGCCTGCTTGTAAGTATGTGCACCACATACATGCCTGGTACCTGTAGAGATCAGAAGGCAGTGGAAACCCCTGGAACTGCCATTACAGAGGTGGGAATCACCATGTAGACATGGGGAATGAAACCCAGGTCTTCTGCAAGAACAAGTGCTCTTAACTGTGGAATGTTTCTCCAGCCTTCATATGCACGCTCCCACGCTCCCTCCCCGCCCCCTTTGTTTTTTGAGACAGGGTGTCTTTGTGTAACAGTCCCAACTGTCCTGGAACTTGCTCTGTAACCAGGCTGGCCTTGAACTCACAGAGATAATCCTGTCTCTGTCTCCCAAGTGGCCCCCAGCCTATATATACCACTTTAAACATTTTTCTTTTTCTTCTTCTTTTTTTTTTTTTGAGACAGGGTTTCTCTGTGTAGCTTTGGAGCCTGTCCTGGAACTCACTGTGTAGCCCAGGCTGGCCTCAAACTCACAGAGATCCACCTGGCTCTGCCTCCCTAGTGCTGGGATTAATGGCATGCACCACCACTGCCCGGCTTATTTCTTGATTGGTTGACTGACTGTCATCTCTCTAAAGCAAATTCAAGCAAAATTACATGTGAGAAGTCAGAACAGTGGTCACTCGTGATAAGAAATGGTTAGAGGGCACTAAGGTCCCGCAGTGCTGACAACAACCCATTTGAATAGTAGCTTTCAGGTATTGGCTAAGCGTTAATCTAAACTGTACATTTGTCTGGAGTCTGCTTGTGAGTTATATTTCCAAACTTTAAGAAAATATTTAAGCTGAGTGTGATGGTGTACGTCTGTAATTCTAGCAGGATTAACTCTGTAATTCTCAGGAGGCAGCAGCAGGAGGATCGAGTTCGAGGCCAGACTGGGCTACATGACCTTGCCATTTTAGGAAACAAAGCAGCAACAACAGTCGAGCATGGTGGTGCCCACTGGTGACCCAGCACTGGCACAGCGACTTTGAGTAGTCAGTCTGACTCAATACGCACACATATAGACCCTAGAAGTTTAAAATGTTATCAGGAGTCCCAAGATACAAATATAAAATACGCTTAATCACATAACTGTCAGTATACAGGGCGGTTGTTCTTGGTAATCCAATTTCATTCCTCTGGAAGCAAACTGTCTGAATTCAAGCTACCTTTTCTACTTTCTAGCTTTAGGGTTTAGGACTCACAAATACCCGTTTCCTCAACTATAAGGAACAATGGTACCTACTATTGAGTCACTGTGAGGACTCAGAAGAAAGCAGCAGTGCCTGAAGCACAGCCTGCCAGTAACTACTCAATCGATGTGTGTGAGCTACTACTAGGATTCCTGTCTGGCTTCAGTCATGGCTGACAGATAAGCTGGGTTTTTTCCAAGGGAAACTTCCCCATAAAAGTAAAAAAGTCCTAATCCTAGGCAGAGGTTAGAGGCCAGACGCAGGCTCAAGTCATCACTTAGATGCCTTTACCAAAGGCCCAAGAGAAAGCAGTAAAAAGAACAATTAGACAGTATTTCACCACCAAAAAAGGCTTTTATTACAAAACAAATTCTAATAAAATCAAGCCTGGTTTTCAACCCTTTCTCTGAATAGAGGCTCCTAGGATGGAGGGGTAGGGAGACAAAGCAGAGGGTAATGAAAGAAGAGAGCAGGCCGACCTCCCCGTGAAGTCTCAGGTGCTTGAATAGCCTAGATGAGCTCTTCCAATGGTTCCCGAGAAAGGCAACGTCCTTCTAGACAGGAAGACCCACGACCCACTCCCGTCACCAGAACTGAGCACTGCCGCCGCACTGTTGGATTGGATCCAGGTCTTGACTGGCTCGCAGCAAAGGCCACCCAGGGTTACTCAGCCTGTGCAATGGTGTAGGAGAGTAGCCACAGCAGCAAGGGACCCAGAACAAGGACAGCAAACCAGACAGCAAAACTGGCCAGAATGAGTCTCCGGGCCCGGGCCCCCCAGTATATGGCCTCCTCCGACTGGCCTGCCTTATGCCGCTCTTCTGCCTGTGGGGGCAGGTTCTTGGTTAGATTCTCCCCCTGCTTCTGTCCCAAAGTGCCCACTGCCCTATTCCTCTCCTTGATCTGTAATAGCTCATATTCTCACACCCAAACATTTTACATCCTTTCGTTTGTCTTTCTTGTCTCATCTATAACACACTCTATTCATCGCAGTCCTGCCTACTTCTCAATTGGCTACAGTTAGCTTAGAACATTGCACTTGGGAACGTGCTTTTTAATGACTTTGGTTTGTTTTGTGGTATGATGGAATCAGGGCCTGGGCATACCAGCCAAGTTCTCTGTTGAACTACATTTTTGGACTCGAAAATACTTTTAAGTCCTTCTACTCCCATTCTTTTCTATCTGGAATTTGGAATTCTTGACTCAGTCTTATCCAGTCAAATCTCTCATGGTTCAATAGGCATCATCATTTTCAATCACAAAGGTTCCTTTTTTATGAGTTTGCCCCAGTGAAATTCTTATGGTGACAGAAAGTGTTTCTGATTGTCAAGATACATCCAGGGGGTGATATGATTCCAGAATGGTATTAAGTTAGCTTGACTAGCCGTCCAGTAGGCAAACATGTATGCTGAGCTTAGTAACAATGCACTTATCATGGGTAAGGGTCTGGGCTCAATTCCTAGCAATGCCACCCTGAACCCAAGCACAAAAAAGGGTACAGAGAATCTCTAACAACTACACTGCTTCTTCCAGATCCTGGATATTGTTCTTATCACTACTCAACTGTCTGCCTGTAGTTTTGCCCCTTGTGATTCAACCTCAAAGGAGGCTTTGAGTAGATCTTTCTGAAACACAAATCTGGCCATGTCACTCCTCTGAAATAATTTTTACATTGCTCTCTAGTCTTCGAGATAAGTCAAAATTCCCAAGTACAGAATTGGTGGCCCTCAGGACTCTAGATGTTTGATGTCAATTCTCAGTATTCCTCATTGAATCCACATTTGTGCTCACTGCTGCCTTTATCTAGACTTCCTTTCACCTCAGGGACTCACCCTCTAAAAGTGATCTTCTTGTGGTCATCTTGTGAATGCTTTGGTAGCCACTCACTCTAACAGGTTTATTCTGTCTGTCTTACACACACACAGACCTTTCCTTGTTCCTTTGTTTCTAAAGTACTTTTGCTTCCCCTGTACCACAGTGTCAATGAGCTGCATTCACCTAATTATCCATTTTTACAACTATCTTGTACTAAGCCCATAACTAAGCATCAGTAGGTATTTAGTAACTGTTTAACTGCAGACAGATCAAATACACAAAATCATTTTCTTCTACCCACCCCTGTACCCACAGGAATTTTATTCCTCACCTTGATGGCAAACACAAGGGCCATGACTCCCAGGCAAGAACAGCCACAGATAATGCTAGTAGCTGCCAGGTAGCGGAGGCGGAGCCAGCAGCAGTGGACAGGGGATGGAGAAGGAGCAGCTTCCATGTTGCTCATCAAGCTCTCCGCTGCCTTCTCCTCGTCCTCCATCACCTGCGGGCGATACAGTCAAGGTACTTTTAAGCCCAACAAATGAGCTCTTGCTCTGGCGTGGTGACTCCACCCTTCTCAAAGCATGCTATCTACTGTTCTAACTCTATACTTAGGAATGCAGTCGTACTGGGAAATTCCTCCAGTGACTCAGGCCAGGAGACTAAATGCGTGGATGGAATCCTTTCCATCAGTTTAAGATTCTAAATCTTTGAAGGCAAGCACCTGTGAATATACTTGTATTTCAGCAAGACAGAGAAGCATACTGAGAAACAGGACATGGAATCTCAAAACCTTTTGGGTAAGTGCTTTATTTTGTTTTGAGATATGGTCTCACTATGTAGCTCTTCCTGACTGGCCTGGAAGCATGTAGACAAGGCTGGCCTCAAATTCAGAGATCCCCTGCCTCTACTCCCTTGTGCTGAGACAATTTTTTTTTTTTTTAAACAGAGTTTCTCTATATAGTCCTGGCTGTCCTGGAACTCACTCTGTAGACCAGGTTGGCCTAGAACTCAGAGAAATCCACCTGCCTCTGACTGGAGTTCTGGGATTAAAGGCATGTGCCACCACACCTGACATGAAAACAGTTCTGGGGATGAAGGGAAAAATCATACAGTTCTTTTTTGCTGTTTATAAAAACAAAAAACAAAAAACAACCCCCAAAAACAACTTAAAAACAAACTAACACCTAACCCAGTAGTAGTGGCAGACACTTATAATCCCAATTCTGGACAGGTGGAAGCAGAAAGATCGAGAGTTCAAGACCAGCATTGCTAGCTCAGAGTTTGAGATAGGAGATCTTGTCTCAAAACAAAAACTAAAACACAACAACCAAAAAGCCCCAAACCCTGAACCTATCTTTGTTATGATGCCTTCTTGCCACCGTCTCTCTCCATTTTAACCCAGACCATACAACACAACCAGATTAGCAGAGTTCCAGTAACCTCACTGCCCATACAGAAAGCTGCATAGTGCCTTCTTGACTCACTCAGACCCTCTGTGCACATCAAAATACCTTTCTACTCTCATGTCCAATCATTCTCCTACAGCTTGGACAAAACTAAACCACCTGTGGTTCCCCAAGCACAAATAAAGAAAATGCAAAAAGAGTGAGAGGTGAGAGTCGAGCAAAAGGATGTGTAGCAAAGCTGCAATGTCAAGTTGAGGCAAGAACTGAAGCGCAGCACATGAGAAGAGCTCCAAGAGGAGGGCCCAGGAGGTGAGGTCAGAAACTATCAACATGAACACAGACTCTTACCTGGCTATAGGCTTTGAGGGACTGTGAGTTTCGGCTCCTGCCTCAGGTTTGATTTGGCTTGGGTGGAGATGAAGCTGACTCATGGCTCCAAGCCAAGCCAAGGTAGAGTTGTGGGGCCAGCCACCATGTGAAGAGCCCAGGGAGCTGGGAAGGGGCATGGCCAACTCAAACCAGTTTGGCTAGATGGAGAGCAGAGGAGGGCCAAGGCATGAAGCAAATGGAGGATGCCTGCTTTCTGAAGAAAGGAGTGTAAGGAAGCACCTGAGCAAGGAGGTTGGAAGGGAACTCCAAGGTGTTGGAGAGCTGAGTGAGGGAAAGTTCAAGAGTCAGAGAAAAGAGTTTGTCTGAGTGGTCTAAAACTGAGACTACGTAGCCTATCAGATCAGATTTGACAATCTTTCTTTTTCTTGACTGAGAGAGGGGTTAAGTTCTGCTTTAAAAGTATATAATCTTGGATTAGAGATCAGGTATGGGTCATTGCAAGAGGGAGGTGAAAAATTATGTCCAAGTCCCACCCAACCCTCCACCAGACCAGAAAATCAGAAGCCTCCTTACACGGATGCTTGTACAGAAACTAAGTTTATTATGTTTTCTTCTTTAAAAAAAAAAAAAAAAAAAAAAAAAGGAAAAAAAAGAAAAAAAAAAAACCAAACCCATCCCACCTCATTGAAGAAAAGCCCCTCCCCCTTTTCCCTAAGGGTTTGAGGCTGTGAAAGACAGCTGGGGAATCAAGTACAAGGGGGTGGGGACAGAGACTATCTTGCCACCCTTAACACTGCCCAGCTATGTAGGGTAGGAGAGAAGGGGGGTTGTGATGAGCCCCATTTCCATGACAACCAGTTACCTACCCCCTACTTTGGTGGAAAGGGAGACAGCCCCCTATGTCTCCCTGGAGGCTTCCCCCTCAGACTTCAAGTAGTGGTTAACAGAGTCAGGCCTGGGCATGGGGAAGAGACCATGGTGGGACACCTAGGTGAAGGGCTTACCACTCACGTCTTGGCCTTGCGACCTCTGTGACTAACAGTAGGGACAGATAGGTGGGGAGGAGCACTACTACGCAGGATACGCTGGTCCCCTTGGTTGGTGGTCCCAACGAGCCTGCGGGGACCGGTTCGGCGGCGTGGGGTTCCATCTCCTTCCTCCTCGTCACCTGAGGCTTCTGCCTCTGACTCCTCTACTGAACCCTCAGGCCCCAGGGGACTTGGGGGCTGCAAGCGGCCCCTCTTTGCCATCCCAGAACTCCCAACTGGAGCCCCTGACCTTTTGCGAGGCATTTTTTCAGTTTCTAGTGGGGGAACTAGAGACCCTGGACGCAGGCGGGTTGACCGAAACTTGGGAGTTAATGAGACCACAGGTGGTGTCAGTTCTAACCCACTCGGCCCACTATCTGCTAAATCCAGGTCATCCTGAATTACGGCCATCACCATGGACCCTTCACTCTTTCGTCCCCGAATGCCCTCTGCTTCAAGCCGTAGACGGGCCAGGCGGGTGAGAGGGCGGCTTCCATCCTCATCAGAGGAACTGCCTTCACTTTCCGCCTGGCCCAGGGGTTGCCGCCGCACCCCCAATCCACAACTCTCAAGGACAGAAGGGCTGTCGGTGTCCAAGACAGGGCCAAGGCTGGGCCGAGGTGATGGTGGATTCTTGGGAGGTCGGCCTCGCTTCCGCTTAGGTGGGGAGGTTGAAATAGTGACAGTGGTGACAGTGTTGGCGACAGCAGTGGGACAGGCTACAAGTGGTGGGAGTGGTGTCAGGGGTGCTGGGAGGGGGAGTGGCTGTGTCCGGCTCTCTAAGTTGCCATCCCCTGGAGAGGATATGGTCCCAGGAATGGGCAAATCCCTTGCTTTAGGGGGACGCCCACGTCGTCTTTTTTCCACAGGTGACAGGATGGGCTCTGGTCTGTGAACTGGTTCAGGTCCGAGAGGCTGGGCCAGCCCAGGAACAAACTGGGGCCTGAGGGCAGGCTCTGCAACAGTTACCGTCTCAGGCCCAGGGACTGGGTCAACCCCATTGGTTTTCCCCTTAGAGATGGATGAAGGGGTCTCATCCACCCCTCTCCCAGCATCTGCTGGAGACCTGTTCTTCTTGGGGGGCCTTCCCCTCCGACGTTTCACAGCAGGTGGAGTGATGGTAAGCTCTGCTTCTTCTCCATTCTCTGGGCTGCCCCCACCAGCCACACCCAGTTCAACATGACGACAAGCTATGAAGGGATGCTGGGTTGGGGTGGACAGTGAGGATGACGGAGCAGCTTCACAGGGCGCACTGCTGGGAGGTGAGGACTCTGGCCCTGACATGCTGTGGGTGGATGGGCTTCCTGGACTGGTGTGAGCTTCGGATACCCCGGGTACTAGGGTGCTGGCAGTTCCCCGATGTCGCCGACGTCTCACAAGTTCTTTTTCTTCCACCACAGTTACCAGCCGTCCTGGCAGCTTTCGAAGCACTTTGGGACCTGGGGGTTGTCCTGCCCGGCCAGACCCCTGACCCCTGATTTCCACATCAGCACTGGTACGACGCCGTGGGGGACGGGCAGGTGAAGGACCCTCAGGAGAGGAGGTGGCTGAAGGTGAGGTGGATGGGGCTGTAACCTCGGCACTAACAAGTTCTTGTGGCTTTTCTGGGTTGGAGATTGGGATCTGAACCTCTCCCATTTCTTCCAAGTTCCTGTGAGCCTCCAACACCTCCTGAAGTGGCTCATCCGATGCTGCCGAGGGTGGGAGCTCCAGCCCATTGCTCTCACTCAGACTCGTGGTCAACCCCTCACCACCAGGGAGCAGTGTGGGACTAGTCCCTTCCTCAGGACCTGGCACCTCCTGATCCTGACCATTGGGGATGTTGTCAGCCTCCAGGGTTGAACTGGGTGCAGGAGTTAGAAGATTCTTCTCTGACTCAGGCAGAATATCAACAGACCCTGGCAAAAGATCCTTTGGAGGCCCAGGACTAACCAGGGAAGCCTCAGAATTGGTCATTCCAGGCAGCTCTAGAGACGCCACAGGTACCAACTCTCGTGCACACAGCTCTACTTCTGAGTTCAAAGGAAGGTTGGTAACCCCGGGAGAGACGGGCACAGGGAGGGAATCAAGTGGGGTTGGTGAAGAAGCGGTCGAATGAGAGGTTGGAGCGGGTGAGGGGGTACAAGTGGGTGGAGGGGTACAGGCAGAAGGAGAGATGCAAGTAGGAGAAGAACAAGACGGAGGGAGCTGAAGCAGAGGTGCAGGAGTAGGCAAGATATGGACAGGAAGAATGGCTACTGGATTTGGGGCTGAAATGGGTATGGGAGCTGCGGGTAGGGCAGAAGTTACAGCGGGAGCGGGAGCGGGAGGTGGAGTGGGAGCAGGAGCAGGAGCAGGAGCATGTCGAGGCCTAGGCACTGGCCTGGGAATTCGTTCTCTCACAGGGCTGCACTGGGGAGGCATGAAGGTGTTGCAGGTAGGATGGGTAGATGTGACAGGAGTGTGGTTGGCTCCTTGAGTCTCAGCTCGAGCTCCACGAAGACGCTCACTGACACGAGTCCCCAGCCTCTCAGGAGCCTTGACTTTCTTACTGCGCCGGTGGCTGCCTCCACTAGTCCCACAAGACATCTCATCCCCAGCCCCTGACCCTTCCTCTTCCTCTTGGGGCAGTCGAAACACCTCCTCCTTGGCTTGATCCAGGTCTTTTCGGGCAGCTTCCACTTGCTCCTACCAACAACATAGCCAAACGCGGTCAGCAAGAGGCAGAGCAAAGCAAGGCAGAGTAGAAACGAGCAGCTTCCACTGCCCCTTCCCCAGAAAGACTTACTTCTGCCTGCTTGAGCTCCTCTCGGCTTACTTCCTCCAGTGAAGCCTCTAGGAACTTCATGGCATAGCGCTCAATGGGAGTCAGCTGTAGGGAAGAGTCAGTGGATAAACAGAAGGATCTAGAGCTCAGGGCCTATCACCATTATCATCACCAGGGAAGCCAGAAGAAGAAAACAAGGTCTGAGCCCTGGCATAAGTTATGACAGATGAAGAGAAGTGGTAGCGGATCCAACACTAACCTGTTCTACAAGAGCAGCAATTTCCTGTTCAGCCCTGGACATCTCCTCCTCCTCAGCCCCAGGTCGACTGGCCTCCTCTCCCTCACCAGCAGGAAACACATCGTTCTCATTAAATTCTGCAAGCTCAGCCACTTGTTCGGCTTTGGCCTGGGTGG